GTAAGTTTATGATTATTATTTATTTTACTAAAATTGTAATTTTGTACTTTATGATGAATATATAATTGATAGTGGTTTGATTTTGTAACCTTGGTGCTTTCGACTCAGTGGTCTGGTGGTTAAGTGCTCGCGCGCGGAAGTAGTAGGGCCTGGGTGCGGGATCGTGGATGCGCAATGCTGAGGTGTACCATATTAGGAAGAAACGGCCGTCCAGTGCTTACAGGTTTTCTATGGTGATCTAGCTTCAATTGACTCATGATTTCAACCTGTGAAATTTCTAAAAATCTCCACAAAACCCATTCTAATGTTACTTATACTCTTACTACCTTTATCACTATGGGATTTGAATCGATAATTGTATCTCTGGGCTAATTTTAGTATGGTAACTTGAATTGATGTAAGTACGTACTAAGTTTTACGTTGTTGCTAACTGACTAACTGACTAGTTACGTAACCACTGTTCTACTTAATAAATCCAATTATGATATTGTAAATAATTTCGATTCATTTTACCTGTGTTTTTTTTTCTAAAAAAGTTTTATCCTTTCTGTTTCATTCGTCGACAGTTTATTCATCAAGTTGATGATGATAACTAGAATAACTGAATCTATTGTCTTGTAATTGTGTACTTTTTTCTTCTCATCAATTTAAAATCATGCGTAAAATTACTTTTGTAAGCTTCCGAGAGTGAAACTTCAGCACTGCGCTGTTAAGGTTATATACTGTTGTTGAATCTTATACAAGGCGAAACGTGAGTCACAGATTCCACTTCTTGTCATTAACCTAGTTTGTTTAAGTTTACTAGTTGTTATATATCTGGATAATGTTTTTATTGATATGAAAAGTTTAACTTTCCTTCATTCATATAGAATAGATGGAATGTGGCTAGTAGCGAAATCCGAAAACGCGCGTTTTGAATTGCCTCTAGCTGTTAGATAATATTTGGATTCATTTTATGATGTAATTATATATACCACTCGTAAAATGAGCTAAGATTAAATGTGACAAATTTACTACTTATTTATTTATTTAAACACATAAACATAGGTAAATCATTCGATTCATGTGAGGGCTGGGATACTCCCCGGGTGCCCAGAGCGAAGCAGGTAGTTTCCTTAGGGGGTTATAACCCGAGCCTTGGACCTAAAGGTCTGACCCACAAGGCAGTGGAGCAACACCAGGAGATGTAGTCCCATGGTAGCCGATGACCAACAATTGGTTCATACGACATTTGTTCCCACAGGATACTGGAGCCCATGTGCACCATTGGTTTTGGATCCTGCATGAGAAGGTAGTGAGTAGGACTTCCCTGGCAGAAGCTGTATACGCTTGGCCATGTGAGAGCATTTCGAGAAGGAGGGCGGGTCCACCCCACTCTTGGCCATACCAGGGTATTTGGGGGCAAATGTGACGAAATGATTAAAGAATACTGTCCTTGAAATATGATATCATGATCAAGTTATTTTGATGATGTTTAACCTTCCTTAAACAAGACTATTATTATTATAAACAATTTCTACCAAGAAACTATTGTTATTACCTAACTGTTAAATATATATATATATAATAGAAGATAAAATGTATACATAGTTGTTTCTAACGTCTGATACTATTACTACTATTATTACTTCAAGATTTGTCTTGTAATCATTTCATCTTATTATACTAATATGATATTGACAACAACAACAACAACATAAATCGATACACACATATATATGCCAGGTTCTATGCTCCATGTGACTAAGTCGTTTCCAAACTTGTAATTGATTAACTTAACGATTGAACTTTGATGTTTCTTTAAACAGACCTAATTGACAGGTAAATCAATAACTCATACAATTGTATTTAAGACTTATATTAATCAATTAAAGTTTAAATGATTGTTACTAATTTAATGTATGTATTATAAATAGTAATATTGATTTTAATTTTAGTTGCTAAGGCTTTGAATAATACCAGATGTTGTTGCATTTTATCACTTTATCAATCTCGTTTTTCTTTTTTCCTTTTTTTTAATGGTAACAACGAATAAAACATATGGTTATGTCTTTTGGTGGAGTTTTGTTCTCTGAGCTGGATGATTTGGTCAAAATTATCCACCTGAGCTACAAATCTTCTCCACCATCTCATATGGTTATGACATTTTATTCTGTTTACCTTCTCTTCTCTTCTCTTTTTTTTCGTGATCTATATGCTTATTGATGTTTATCTTAGAAAATGTTTCACCTTTTTCCTGTTATCTTTAGATTTAAACAATATAACACCAGTATGATTTTTGTGTAAAAAGAAGAAAAAAAAGTTTGTTAATGGAAGTGATTATTACGTAACATGACAGTGTGGTCGTTTAAATCCATAGGAAGATCATTTCTAATTTGAATATCTTAGTGATAACATCAGTTATTAGTCGATGAACCGGTTTGAATATGTAACAAAGTATCAATCTCCTCAAATATTTGTATATTACATCTTACTAATGATGTAAACCAGCATAATACTTATACTCACCAGTTTCTGTCGAATGCCTTCAATGATGGGTAGTGGCTAGCAGTGAAATCCATGATGTGCATTTCGTCCTATTTGGGATATGTTAGCTGGATTAAGACTAAATGTATCTGTTGTATGATTATTGATTTTAAGACATGTCATCTAAAACTCCTGAATATTAGTTACAGTAGTCAAACGGAACTCACTCAGGTAGTATTCATCTATCGATAACTCTGAAATAACAATTAGTGATTTTACAGAATGATGCAACATTATACTTTGGTCTCTCCTATCTTTCTTCCAAACAATAGCATGCATAACAGTAGACGGTAGTTAGGCAAAATGAATATATATCCCAACCACTTGCCAGATGAATTAGATTATTATTATTATTATTGGAGCACATCGAATGTAGAATCGTAAGATTTCGCCAATGAGAACTAAATTTTCACATCATATCAATGGATGGAATGGTTTGACTAAGTCTCTCATGAAATAATCACTCAAATCTTTTTTCAAGAAAAAAGCGAACTATCTTACTTTTTAAGCAAAGATGAATAGTAGCATGTAGTGGAATCCATTACATAAATTAGTAGCTGTCAAGACTCAATAGATAAGCGAATAATGTGATGGCGTTTGGAGTGAACGGTACTCGGTTTGAGTCCCACAGATGTATGTACATCCAGCAATGTGTTGAAAATAGAATGAAACCTGTGTTTTGAATCCCACTTCTAGCCTCTATTCATCTTTTCTTGTAATGCTTGTGAATTAAGACAATATCGATGCCAATCCGCACAGGATGCACATATGCCAATAAGAGACTGATCAATTGCAGTCTTAAACCTCAATGGGAAGATTCAAGTAAACAACAATACCAAGTGAATTTAAACACTGTCAATGATGCAAAAATGGCAAAATTCTTTAAAACCATAAATATTAATAGTAGTTGAATAATTTCTATACTTAAGAGAATAGTTTTATGTCGTCTAAAACACATCCAACATTTCATTGATTGAATCATTCTTAATTATGTCACTAGTAGTGTACATTCTAGATTCAAAAAGGAACAAATTAGTTGTGTTTTTTTTGTTGTTGTAATTTTGCAGTATCAAACAAGTTTGTTGTTGTTGATATAGATAATAATAATAGTAAACTATTAATTTTTTGAAATAACTCAATGATGGTAGTGACTAACATCAGGACACCATATCCAACTGAGTTGTTCATATAGACAATGGACAAAAAGGAGTCTATCATTATTGACTTCTTCATGCAGGTATATATGTCTGTATGAGAACGAGCGAGGGAGTGAGAGAGAGGGAGAGGGAGAGACGAGGTCAATTTGCTTATTTACTGAGAAAAATGTGATTCGCCTTTGTTCATACACACACACACACACACACACACGCAGAGGCACAGGCACAGGTTATGCACAAAACACAATTTTAGATTGATATTTTGATAGAAGTGATGTAAATTTTTCACATACATTAACTATCTACTGTTGTTTACATATCTTAATCTCATCACTAGAAATGAATGTCTTATTGTATTTCTATGATTCATATAAATGAAATCACTTGACGATTTAATTTTTCTATGATAAATACAGTTTTTATATACACATACTGTTGAGTTAACATTATACTGAGAGAGAAGTTTTGTGGTTTTGCCCGCGAGACGGATAGGTCCTAGATTCAAATGTCTCGAGGCAGGATCATGGATGCGCATTGCTGAGGAGTCGCATACTAGGACGAAACGGTCATCCAGTGCTTCCTGATTTTCCATGGTGGTCTAGCTTTCATTCAACTATTAAATTAACACTTTACGTTTTGAAAAGGTTAGGTGTTCATATTACGTAGAATAAATCATGACTTCATAGGTTTATATTATAGAAGGTAATCATCCTCTTTTCGTTTCAATTTTCGATTAACACTGATAGAATAGTTTTTTTCGAAAAAAACTATTTATCGAATGATCAACTTGATGGACGGACTTTTTCTTATATTGTTTACATCTCCAGGACTTCATTTGATCAGTTTCTCATTATCATCGGTGTGACATGGTTTAAGATTGGTCATAGTGACATCAGTCAGTGAGTCAGTCAGTCAGCTATAAGGTAGGACCAGGCACATAAATGCATCGGTTCAAGTTGCCATACCTCATTAACACAACAAGATGGACACCGGATTCATAAAAGCAGTCACTTCAATGGTAGTAATATATAAAAGAAACATTGTGTATAAGGATATAGTACAGGAAGGAAGAATTAGTTCGTAGAAAGAAAGATTTCATATAAGGACATATAACAGGAAGAAAGGTCTAGTACGTAGAAAGAAAGATATGAAGCGATTTCAATCTCTTAGTTTAAGGGAAGACAGAGGGTGTATACACCGACGCCATTGTGATCGATTCTGAGCCATGTCACCAAGAGTTTCCAACCATTGGTTACGATAGTGACGAGGACCCCAACCAAATAGTCTGCATCTACCAACATGTCTCAGACTAGAAGT